TCACTGCATCACAACAAGCTCCCCTCAAACGGAGCCTGTGGCTATCATCGCAGTGGCGTAACTTGTCTCCATGAATTCAGACAGCAGGAAATTCCCTGCTGATCAGGTTTTCCTGAATGTCATCTACAGGAACTTTGATTTTAATAATAATAAACAAAAATCTGCAATCTGGAATTAAAGATAAATTGTAACCATGTTATTTCTTTAGCTTAGTCTTCCAGACACTGAAAAGAGAACAAACAAGTTTTAACCATCTAAATAATTGTAAATATTGCTAAAACGCATATTTGTATAATGATGTTCATAATTTTCCTGTGAGAGAGATCAGCTAAAACCCTCTGTGTATTTTAAACAAAGATGCTTTTTCTTCCTAGAAGCGAGTAGAAACATCGAGGTATTTACTTGGCATAATTCAGATACAGTAAATCATGATATCTATTTTGGGCCTAGTCCTAAAAATCCACAATCAAACTTCTGCTAACGTATGGGAAGAACAAAGATTTTTTTTTTCCCCCCAAACAAAACAGGGTAGCATTTCCTAGGTATCTGCATTTGCCTAGAAGAGAGCAAAGACTGGGTAGAGCATTTAAAGTCTCTCGCAAGCACTCATTCTGAAGCGCTGCAGCACAGCAAAGATAATAACTAACAGATGGACTTTCATTCCTAAGTGGTGAATAACCTCTTCGTGTGGTTATGATTTGGTGAACTTGGAAGTAGTGAAACACACTCTTGAATTAGGTATGAAAGGAAAGTTATATGGCAGAAGGTAAACGCCATGTATTGAAATAATGCACAATTTTTATGTTTAACTTTGTCACTAGAATTCTGACATTCTAAAAATCTGGAACACAGTGAATTTTGTTAGTCCATATGTGTGAAAAAGAATTAGAAAATTCAACGAGCAAAAAAGCAGAGACCTTAGAAATAAAAAAAGGAAATGACTTGCCATAACATTTCCCTTGTAATTACTTTTTATCAACAGCTGAACAATATGAAAGACTACTCTGCTTGAACACTCTTTTAAGGAAGGGGGATGGGACCAAGTTCAAGTTAATATTGTAATTAAAAAATATTATACTACATTTTTTAAAACCTGCTGGCTCCTCCTTTCACTCTTGCTCTATGGTTCTTCTCCCAGTCTAGGACCTCCATAATTTGCCTCAACAAATGTTCACTAACCTCTCCTCCATACTGTCGATACCTGCCTAGTTCAACCTATACTAATACAGACCAGATGCCTGGCCAATTGCTTTTCAAGTCAAATCCCCATCTTTAGTAACTCTTCCATCACACATGTCCTTTTTCTGAAGAAAGGAAAATTAGGCTAAGAAAC